ATATAGCCAAGATATCCGAAATCGACAAGCATATAGCTAAAGAGAAAACAAAACTCGAACAGGCAGGCGATGAGTTCTGTAGACGCCGTGTAGCGGAAAGATTGCGTAACTTAGAAGACGAAAGATCCGCCCGCCTCGAAGCAGCTTCCAGTAATAGAAAGGCACTTCGTTCGCAAATCAGTCGAATTCGAGAAACTATCGATCAAGTCCTCAACGATGACACTACACTGGCCGATAAAATTAAAACATTGTTCAGAGAACAGGGAATAACCATTGCCAGTATTTTAACCGCGTTGGGATTTATTATATCGACTTTGACTCTCTCGTTAACAGGTGGTAGTACAGGTGGTGGTACACCGCCTAACGATGGTATAAAAGAGTGGATAAAAAAGCATTTAAAAGCATTAGGTTCAGCACTGGGAAAGCTCGCTGAGAAAGCCGCGGCCGCACTTCCCGGTATAATAGGGAGTATAGTTTAATGGCTATTGAATTTATTAGCTAAGACCACCACTTGGCTTAGTCAAAACTTGTGGGGGTTGATCGTAGCAATTGCAGGGCTGTTGTACGTGTTCGCTAAGAACTATTTAACCACCAAATCAGTTCGCTAAGAACTATTTAACCAAATCATGAGTGAACCAACCGAGACTCCACCCACTACAAGCGCTGTTTTTTCATCGATATGTTGTTGATTTTTAGCCTCAATATGCGGTGGCACTTGTGCGTTAGTAGATGGTTGTGAAACATGTGGTGTTTGCGGCTTGACTATTCCCTTTTCGCCCGCGATCGTTTGCGTTATTAATTCGACGTTAATATCTGAATTTATACCTGGTTTTTGTTGATCGGTAGCGATAACAATTTTATTATTATAGCCTATCACTTGACCGATCTTAAGTTCCATATTACTCGGAGACATGTATAGTCCCGGCGCAAAAACGTAGTCCACTTTGGATTGAGCGTACTGTAATGCATCTTGAAAACGCTTTCTAGACGATGGTATGTCAACTGGTGAATTAATGGCGTCCTCCACGTTTGCGACAAACTGTGTTTTTGCGCATCGAACGCCGTCCCAGTACCTATAATGGACGTTTGTGTTTGCGATTGCGCTCCGAGAATTGCCCACACATAAGTTCTTATCGACTCATTAACTCTTTCAAATCCTGGGTTAGTAAAATTATTTTCCGTTTTATCATTAAGAAATTCATTCCAAGCATCTGTTGTATCGTTTGGATGCACAAACTTTGTTATAATATAAGGAATGCCACTCTCAAAGTTCATACGATCTGCTCTAAACTGTTTACTCGAGAGAGCAAAGCCTGAAGGGATCACACCCTCTTTAATTAAATAATCGCTTTTATCTTTAATAGTTCTTTGTCCATTGTACGGAATACCTAGACCATGGCTAGGTCCTTTAATTCGCCAATCTTTACTCGTAGAAACATTAAATTCATTACAAATACGTTCGAAGGCCCTCTTATTATAATGATTATTTGCGTGATTCCATGCTGGATCCATCGGTAATGGAGCACTAATTTCTTTAAGTATACGTCTAATCTGATAGTACACGTGAAATAATATAACAGACTTATATAGTTTAAATCCTGGGGCATTAACAGATACGCCACATCCCGTTGTGGCACACCATACGGCAAAGTTTAACTGATTCTGCCAAAATTGCATCGGACGGTTAAACCAATCGTCAATCATTTTATCGTTAGTTGCCGTGAAACTGTATTTTTCAAAGATATCGTGGAACTTAACGGTAAACTCAGCACCGGAGGCAGTTACTATAATCGATTGATTAGTAATGTGAGTTGATTTCATATTTAAGTTATGATATAGTATCATTGTATATTTAATATGTATGTTACACTCCCGGGAATAACAAATGGTCAGTCTATTGAACTGCTTCATACTATCGATAACTCGGATGGACAACCTCGAAGTAGCTCTATGTGATGTAACGTATTACCCACTGTGGACCAATATAAATGCTGCGAAAAGAAATAATGAGATGCTTATACTGGTAAGCGAAAATACATTTGACAAATTCATTACTATACCTGATGGGTATTACAGCGTATGCTCACTCAATGATGAAATTTTTAAGCGTAATGGAATGAGTCTCACACAAAATGAGGCGAATGGGATGCTGAAATTAACCACTGGAGAAAAAGGTGTACAGATTGAAGAGAACTTATATTATGCACTTGGATTTACACTCTTCAAACCTATACAACCCAACATAACAACACAGGGAGTTAAATTACCCGATTAAGTTCCCTATAAAGAGTTGTTCATCCATCTTGATCAAATAAGCACGACGGATAATATTCAACTAGAAAGTCCTTCAACTTTGCTCAGATCTATTCCAGTTAAAAATGAAAAATATAATAGCGGTAGAACGGAATCTTTCTCAACATTACAATATAAAAAATTAAAGCGGGGTATTATTTCAGACCTCAAAATTTCTATATTAGATGTAAAACACCAACCAGTACATATAGGATACTTAAGTGTAACACTCCATATTATAAATAATGGTTGATTCCATATTTAAGTTATGATATAGTATCATTGTATATTTGATATGTATGTTACACTCCTGGGAATAACAAATGGTCAGTCTATTCAACTGCTTCGTACTATCGATAACTCGGATGGACAACTCGAAGTCGCCCTATGCGATGTAACGTATTACCCGAGGTGGACCAATATAAATGCTACAAAATATAAATATAGTAATGAGATGTATATAAGAGAAGAAAATAAAATCATTACTATACCTTATGGGTATTACAGTGTATGCTCACTCAATGATGAAATTTTTAAGCCTAATGGAATGAGTCTCACACAAAATGAGGCGAATGGGATACTGAAATTAGACACTGGAGAAAAAGGTATATATATTCATGAGAACTTATCAGATAAACTTGGATTTGCACGAAAAATAAATGATGATTTCAGATATATGAGTTTATACAAGGCAACATCTTATGGATCTAAATTACCCGATTTAGTTCCCTATAAAGAGTTGTTCATCCATCTTGATCAAATAAGCACGACGGATAATATTCAACTAGAAAGTCCTTCAACTCTGCTCAGAAGTGTTCAAGTGAAAAATGAAAAATACAATAGCGGTAGAACGGAATCTTTCTCGTCATTACAATATAAAAAATTGAAGCATGGTATTATTTCAGACCTCAAAATTTCTGTATTAGATGTAAAACATCAACCTGTACATATAGGATACTTAAGTGTAACACTCCATATTAAAAATAATGGTTGATGCATCAGGCCCTGGAACACTAAGACAATGTAATACAATTGCGCTTTCCGATCTCGGAGACACAGAAGGATTTGATAAACCCGGTTACAATGGTAAGTTATACGCTTTACACTTACACGATAATCTATACAAGCGGAAAGAAGTCACATTCACGGGTAATCTAGAAGATTTAAGCGATGTCAACGTTAGTAGACTAATTAAAAACACTTCGTATAATATTACTCGCAACGACGATAATAAATGGACTATGGTCGAAGCAAACATCGAGTGGCTACTGAATATCGTCATTACCCCACCTTATGTGATGATAGGTAAGGGACATAATTTAACTACCCCCCCTGCCAGAAAACCCAGGTCATATGTTATATAGTCGTCCGGCCTTAAAAAATGTTACTTTAAATTTGATTACTGAATTCGAAGTCTTGTTCGGAGATGCACCGGTAGATGCTTTCGAAATATTACCAGGTCTATCGATTAAATGGCTCAAGAAACACGAGCGTCAACGTTGCAGTATTATTCATATCGGAGCATCGCCCGTTGCAACCCTCGAGGGGGTCCAAATTATTAAAAGTGACAGCATTTCTCTTTCTAAGATATTCTTGCCGTATAATATACATTTGATAAGATTGATGTATAGTCTCAAAACATTTAAGCAAGACCAATTAAAGACTATTAAATGATCGTAATATACACTATGAGTTTATATCCGGCGCTCAATGAAGCATTTGAAAAGATGGAAACTGTTGATGGATTTCGATTACATCAAATAAGCGACATAAAACATCGAATAGGGAAGGATAGGGAGTTGAGACTTGGATTGTATAAAAAGTATCGCAGAGCCGTGAATGCTCTGGACGGAGTTGACACCGCTCTTGTAGTATCTGGCATGGGACTCGGTGTAGCGGGTATCGGTTTACTATCAACTATAATCGCCGTGCCTATCGTGCTCGGCATGGAAATAACCGCTGGAGTCTCGGGACTGGCAGGAATAGCGATAAAATTCATTTCTCGTAGGTTGCAAAAGAAAGCATTAAAACATGATAGTATTCGCATACTCGCCGAAGCAAAGTTGAACAGCATTGAGGATCATATTTCGACAGCAATGGCCGATTGTAAGATATCCGAGGATGAGTTTCGTTTAGTGCTGTCGGAACTCACCAAATACAACGAAATGAAGCAGGAGATTCGATCAAAATCTCGTAAGACCAGTGGTATTAGCGAAGACGAGAAAAAAAAGTTCATAGAACAGGGGAGGCAACAAGCGCGTCAATTATTCTGTGCCAAAACCAAAGAACTGGTTGGAGATTAAAAATAGATTGCTTACTATCGTTTGATCACATTTAGACAAATGCTTACATAAATATATATAATAATGGAGATCGAAAAAACTATTAAATGGAAAGAATTACCACAAGGTTTTTATTATATCAGTGATGTCAAACCAACCAAATACGGTTATCAATTGTTTCTTATCAATTTACAAAAAGAGTGTAGTTATATAGTCTGGTCTTGTAGTTATATAGTCTGGTCTCCTAGTAAAATGAACGAAGAACTTAATAAAAATGTTGAATATCGCTTTATCGATAAAAATAATAAAGAATATTTTTATTACCATTTAGACTCATCTAAAGCAATGATTGGCCCCAGGTATTGGTAAGCTTGAGCCAATCTCATGACTATCGTTAAATCGCATAATCATTTTGGCATAACCCCCCCCCCCCCCTGTAGTAGCAGTATAGGTAATAAATCTGGCTCCAGTGGAAGTGAGCCAGAACCCCCATTACCTATACTACTGCTTTAGAGGTGTTATGTAAGATTGCTTGGGTCAGGCGTGAACGTCTTTTGTTGTATGAGCGGTGTGATTGAGTGGGTATTTAAAAAGACTGTAAACTGAAATTCAGGGCAGTCAACGAGAATTCTAACCTTGGTTAGACGGTTTTGGTGTGTTGTCCCAATCTTGTGGCGTAAGTTACATTTTATTTGAATATTGTTTATGCTTATATTCTTGTAGCTTGATAATGTATGTATTATCTGTATAGTTTATATATATATATGTATGTAAGGATATAAAAGTTAACGGATGTAGGAACATGTCTTTTCATCATGAATTACGTCAATACATATTTTGAGATCTCACACAGTCTTGATTTGGCAGTCGTCGTTGTGTTGAAAACAACCACCATAGTAATATCATCATGTATATTTACTTTTGATATTGACATTGGTTACTCTAAGTTGTACTTGCTCAATGTATGTTGAATAACTCTATGCTTTTTTAGTTATTCTGAGTATTGTACAGGCTTGATGTATGTTGAACAAGTATTTGTCACAGAGTGACGAAATATCCCCCGCCTGTACACCATAGTACCAAATATGAAGACAATCCAGCGATTAGTTCTTGAGATATTGTGGCAACACCGTTTTCCAACTTCAAAAACAGATTTGCCTGCTGTGACCTTGAAAATGGGGTCAAGGTCACCAAATCTGACAGGTGTATGCGGTGTCTGTATATACACTATAGTTCCAAATATGAAGACAATCCAGCGATTAGTTCTTGAGATATCGCGGCAACACCGTTTTCTAACTCCAAAAGCAGATTTGCCTGCTGTGACCTTGACAATGGGGTCAAGGTCACCAAAACCGACTGGTGTCTGCGGTGTCTGTATATACACCATAGTTCCAAATATGAAGACAATCCAGTGTTTAGTTCTTGAGATATCGTGGCAACACCGTTTTCCAACTCTAAAAGCAGATTTGTCTGCTGTGACCTTGAAAATGGGATCAAGGTCACCAAAACCGACTGGTGTCTGCGGAGTCTGTATATACACCATAGTTCCAAATATGAAGACAATCCAGTGTTTAGTTCTTGAGATATCGCGGCAACACCGTTTTCCAACTCTAAAAGCAGATTTGTCTGCTGTGACCTTGAAAATGGGATCAAGGTCACCAAAACCGACTGGTGTCTGCGGAGTCTGTATATACACCATAGTTCCAAATATGAAGACAATCCAGTGTTTAGTTCTTGAGATATCGCGGCAACACCGTTTTCCAACTCCAAAAGCAGATATGCCTGCTGTGACCTTGAAAATGGGGTCAAGGTCACCAAAACCGACTGGTGTCTGCGGAGTCTGTATATACACCATAGTTCCAAATATGAAGACAATCCAGTGTTTAGTTCTTGAGATATCGCAACAAACAGGTGGGACGTACGGACGGACGTACGTACGGACGGTCGTGAATACTATATCCCCCGCTTCGCGCTTTCGCGCGGCGGGGGATAATAACCGTGTATAGTTATACTGAGCATACTCCCATGTTCATTTGAATGGTGAATAACTATGTGTGTACCATTCTGAGTATTTAATACTCTATGTAAGGTGAATGGTCACTTGTAATTAAACTTACGTATGAACGTTTGTTGTTTAGTGTCCGGGGACCCAGAGGGGCACCTGTACGGAGGATGAGGAGGCAGGGACATTCATTATATGAAGCCTGACCCCAGGGCGACAGATGGCCATGAAGTACATGGAATGTTTACATCTGAATAGAAGGAGACCTGTGTGGGGCTCGAAACAATGTACAGTGCATAATGCAATGACGTGGAAGGAGGCGTGGCGAATGACTTTTTACATATTGTGTACATAATGAGAGATAATTGTTGACATGCATGTATTGAAGCGTTGGAAGAATTAATGCCTAAAGATGTTAATGTATTGAGGTGTTGATGTTGAGATGTATTAATGTGTTCTGATATTGATGTATTGATGTATTGATGTTATGTCATTGTTGCGATGATAAATTGATGTATTAGTAGAGATTTAGAGACAGATTATTAGTGCAAAATTAGAGTATGTGTAAGTAGGGTTAACCTTAACTATTGGGAAAGTGTATGTTAGAGGGACAGAGGGTGTGTGTGAAGGATGTGAAGTGTGTGAAGTATGTGAAGTGTGTGTGAAGGATGTGAAGAGTGTGAAGTGTGTGAAGGCTGATAGTGGAAGGTAGCTGAATGGCTGTGAGTGCGTTGGATACATCATTGCCAACATAATTCTTAATTTTATTTAATAAATATATTCCTAATCCATATTTGGTTTGTGTTATTACTCCGTGTTGTGACAGTGACATGCAAGAGCAGATGACAGGGCCAGTGGAACGTCGCAATGTTGATCGATATGGACATCCCATAGTCATCCACCAGGGAGTACCCGTATGTAACAATTACAATGCTGATGGATGTGTGCATGCCAGCTGCAAATTCAGGCACATAATGTAAACACTTAATGTATGACTTTTATTTCAACGAACTTAAGAAGCAGTACGGTGATAGGTGTGAGGTGTTATATGCCGACACAGATTCTTTGTTGATGGAAATACAAACTGAGGATGTGAATAAAGATATGGCAGAAAAAATAGATATGTACTATTCAAGCGATTACCCAAAAGATAATCCACTGCACAGCGTAGTAAATAAAAAGGGGTTAGGTAAGATGAAGGATGAATGTGCTGGGACCCCTATAGCGGAGTATGTCGGATTAAGGCCTAAGATGTATTCTATAAAGAAGTCCGATAATGGGGAGATAAGAAAAGCTAAGGATGTGAAGAAGTATGTGGTAAAAAAGCATATCAAACACAACCAGTATAAAGAAGCATTATTCAACGGTAGAACATTCAAACACGAGATGAACGCTTTAAGAAGTGTCAATCACAGGATATATGGATTAAGAATGAACAAGACATCATTATCCCCCTTAGATACAAAGAGATGGATTGATAAGGATGGTGTAGCCACCTATGCTTATGGTTCTGGTGGTAATACTGTATCGTTGGGAACTATGAGCAACTCTTCTCGTACAAATGCCCTGCCCGGCCCATCTTTAAGATAATAAATAATAGGCTCTCCTTCTTTCATAACCAATCGACTAATGTTATACATCTTGAGGGACCAAATCCGATCGGTTGCGCGACTTTGGCCTCCTTTGAGTTCACCGGGCGGGTATAAATATCTTACCCTTACTCTATCCAGAAGTTTTCGTTCTTTTCCTCTCCTCGGTGCTGAAGATTCGGATTCAGTGAGCCTCTTTCACCACACCTGATTGCGACATCATGCTTTGTTAACAGTTTAGTTACTGATCCCATAAACCAGGATCTACTTGAAATAACTTAGTCCATTTTAGTGGTCTGCGTTTATATATGCAGCTCAGTGAATTAGCTACTTCTGTTGAATCTTTCGAGGTTAATGGTTTAAGCCTCCTTTTAGCGACTAGCCACATCCACTACAGTTAAAACGTATTTATACGTTTTGCGTCTTACCTTATGGTGGGGAAGAAACAAGAGGTCAGCCTGATGAACTTCATTCGTTGTAAAAATATCAAACTTCTTCTTGAGCCAATCCTTGGCCACATCTTTAGATACCTTAGCCGTGGTGGCTAATTTTGTTGTTGCTCCTATACCTTTCCAATATCCTCGTGGGCTATAGTAAATTTTATACATTATTAATTAATATTGATGATTCTTTTAATACGAATCATGATGATTGTTGAATCGCATCATCATTTGGACATAAAAAAATTCCCTCTGTAGTGGTTGTATAGGTTTATAAATCGTGCTCTGGTGGGGTTGCGGCAGAACTGTCATTGTCTATAAAAATTTATATCATAGAAGCATTGATTGGCTCTAGGTGGTGGTGAGCTAGAGTCAATTTAGCTTAATCTCATGACGATCATTGAATCACATCATCATTTTGACATAAAAAATTCCCTCTGTAGTAGCAGTATAGGAATATAAATCTAGCTCCAGTGGGGTTGTGGTAGAACTGTCATTGCCTATACTACTGTGTTGGAGGCAGGCAGAAAAGTCGTTATCCCCTCCACACTGAGCAAATAGATAAGCCGCAAGTCCATTTGTAGAAGGAGGTTTCCTCTTGCTCTTTTTATCGATACAGGCAGCCTTTTAGAGGCTTCTACCTGGAAGCATCTGGAATAGTGTAGTTTGTTTTTTTAACTGTAAACAAACCAGTAACTCCCTCCGGAATGGTTACACGAGTTTGGACTATCAACAATCACAAGGTCAACGTCACTGCGAAAGCACCTCAATCAATCATCAGAAATGAACATAGTGAAAACTTTCAATAAAATGGACAATTTCAGTGTTTACATTACAGATTCATTAAATGAGTTAAATAAACATAAAAACTCCTGCGAATACCATACCTCTATTATATCATTGCCATAATCCTGTATTTTGGTTTTCATGACACAGCTGACCTTGATTACTTTTGTGGATAACAGGTTTTCCTCCAATATTGACCTGCACATGGAGTTTTACTTTTTGCTGGTAAGAACTGATGAGTAGAGAAGCAGTTAAAGTTTATTCAAAGGTCCAATGTTCTAAAATGGACAAATGAAACTTTTTCAATATGGATATACAGGATTAGACCCTAAACCTCCTGATCAGTAGTCATGCATTCTGACCATTTCTGAATTTCAGTGAGATTCCTATTGAGCCATTTAAACACATCCTTAACATCGAGTGTGCAGATGGAGAGTTTTTACAGTATAGTGGGTACATTGTTGTGGAAATTCAGGGAACAGGAAGTGCTTTATCTAAAGTCCGATGTTTACTTCTTGTGGTTCCTGACAGTTGTTACAACCAGACAGTTCCAATTACTCTAGGTACCAACGTTCTCTCTGTCTACATGCTCCAGTGCAAGGAGGAGTTCGGGGAAAGATTCCTTCAGAAAGCAGACCTCCATACTCCTTGGTATTTGGCTCTTCGTTCTATGTCCTTTCAGGAGCGAGAACTTGTCAAGAACAACTACTCCATAGGACGCATTAGAAGTTCAGAGTCAGGTCGCAAGATAATTCCAGCTAATTCTGAAATTGTTATTCGTGGAAATGTGATACAGCCCCTACCTTACAGATCCACTTGCGCCATTATTCAGCCTACAAGATGATCAGTCATCCCAGACGACCTTGACATTGAACCAACTTTAGTATCATATGATGGAAGAGGACAGAAGATGTTTGTGGACATACATGAATCAAACCTCACAACTCGTTCCGTTTCCATTCCAAGTCGTGCTCTCTAATGTGAACTACAAGTTGTTAGCACAGATGACTTTCAGGAAGCCAGCATAACAGACGAGGAACTTCAACAAGGGAAACAAGTTATTTCGGATTATGTAACATCCTGGCGACATACCAACGGCTTATGAATGAATGTTTTGAAGGTCTTCACTTGAAGATATGTCTCATCTACTTGGACGACATCATTGTCTACACCCAATCAGTCAGCGAACATCTCGACAGGCTCAGTCAAGTATTCCAGAGGATCAGAGATACAGGTCTTAAGTTATCTCCTTAGAGAAGTATTCCTTCTTCAAGAAGAAAATCAAGTTCCTTGGCCATGTAGTGACTGAAGAAGGAATTACAACTGATCCTGATAAAGTGGACAAGATATTGAACTGTCCTCAACCAACCAGCCCAAGTGATGTCAGAAAGTTCCTCGGTTTCGCCGGACATTTCCGCAAGTTTGTTAAGGACTTTGCCGAGATCGCTAAGCCTCTGACATCACTGATGCCCCATGGTAAATCTGGAAAGTCTAATAAGGTAATGGAACAGCCTTGGACTTGCGGAGCTTTAAGAAACTGAAGACACTGCTAGCTTCACCACCCATCCTGGGATATCCAAACTATGGAACATAATTTGAGCTCCACACTGATGCCAGCGGCCAAGGACTTGGTGCAGTATTATATCAGGAACAGGATGGTGTGAAGAGAAATGTTAGTGAGAAATTCCATGACTACCTGTAAGGAGCAAAGTTTACAGTTCTAACAGACAACAACCCCTTGACATACGTGCTCACAAGTGCAAAGTTGGATGCCACAGGTCACAGGCAGCCCTTGCAGCATATGACTTTGATGTTCAGTACCAGCCGGGATTGAAGAATACAGACGCAGACACCTTGTCAAGGCTTCCGGAACTTGGTAGCCACGCCCCCACAGAACAACTTTCCATGAAATCTGTGAAAGCCATTTGTGGAGTTCTACATACTCAGCCTTACGTAGAGTCTTTGTGCCTTTCGCAGTTGCAATTGATGAGGAATTGCACCAAGAAGGGAAATATCTGCAAGGAATGACAGACTCAGGCGTATGACTCAGGCTGCTGATGCAACACTGTACCCATGGATCCAGGCAGTAAGAGCCAAGAGGAAACCCAGGAGACAAGACTATCCGCACACCCCAGCTGCTACATCATTACATCGATGCTTTGACAACCTCACTCTCCAGCGTGGGATTCAATATCGCCAGATCAAGTCTGAAGGAGAGACAAAATATCAGCTGGTGTTGCCATCGCGATTTATCCCTGATGCATTACAAGGCTTGTACAACGAGATTGGACATCCAGGATGTGACCGAACACTATCACTCCTACGTGACAGGTTCTATTGGCCAGGGATGCAAGCTGACACAGAAGACTGGATCAGGAATTGCAACAGATGTTTGAAAAGGAAGACACCAACATGTGCTCCTCTCGTTAGTATCACCAGTACCCAGCCTTTGGAATTGGTCTGTATGGACTTCCTTACTCTGGAGACTTCAAAGGGAGGATACCAACATCTGCTTGTGATAACTGACCACTTCACACCATACGCCCAGGCAATTCCTACTCGGAACTTAACTGCCAAGACAACAGCAGAGGCGTTCTACAACAATTTCGTCATGCATTATGGGATGCCCATGCAAATCTACAGTGACCAGGGTGCAAACTTTGAAAGTAGACTTATGAAGGAGGTTTGTGACATTCTGGGCATATCTAAGTCAAGGACCACACCGTACCATCCAATGGGGAATGGCATGACAGAAAGGTTTAACAGGACACTACTTGACATACTTGGTACTCTGCAGCCAAGCCAGAAGAAGGATTGGAAATCCCATGTGAGACCCTTAGTCCATGCCTACAATGCTACCAGGCACAAGTGGACTGGCTACACTCCTTTCTACTTGATGTATGGAAGAGAGCCTCGCCTACCTATTGACCTTGCATTTGGAATCAAAACCAACAGCGACAAGCACACTCTAACATC